AAAAAAAAATTCAAAGATTACCACTGCTTCAAAAGCTCGTAGATGAGCAATGATTGCTGGGGTAACTTCAGATTTACGACTCATAAAGAGGCGCATTCTAAACAAAAGAGATAGAAAACAATTCTTCAATATCTGCTTCATTATGGAAACAACTTAACCTTTTAAAAATTCCCTTTTCTATTCCGTAAGTATCTACATCAATATATCGCATAAGCTTTTCCGTAAAAGGAGCCAGACACTCATGTAACTTCCGATGGTCACTGGAAATTGCGAGGGCCAAATTGCGATGAATTTGAGATATAAGAAAAAAGATTCACCTATAGTTAAGGCACCTATCGGTAATAAGCCGAGATAGAATTCCAGAATACTTTAGCCAAAACCTAGGATCATCCACTTCTGCGACAACAATAGCTAGCAGATGGGTAGTTAACGCATAGCAGGCCAGGTTTCGAACATCAATGTTAGTCTTTAAAATACAATATACAAAACTTATTTGAAAAAAAATCTTTTTTAGATGGCTCCGGAAAGTTTTAAAAAAGATGGAGAGATTTGGTGCGCCTGATGTTCAACATATAAAGTAGGTATTTTCCAGACAGAGTGAGTTCATTGTTATATTTATAAGTAACCTACCGAGGCATGATTGACTATATCCACTAGATGGTACAGATATTTCTGCGAGAACGCCCAGATTACTTCTTTTCGGCCTTTGTTCTCATTGCACAACTCACAAAGCAAAGTGAGAATTCTCACCAGTTCATCATCATCATATACGCCATGACGAAGGCTAAATACCGGATGGATTTAAACAAGAGCCCGTCATTTTCCAATTCTATCTTTATTGCTTTCAGCATTCTTAAGACTTACGCGGTAGTACAGGCCTTCAAATCATCGATAAGATGAAGGATATGGAATCTGTAGACAACTGTCAAGTAAAGATCATTAGCATCCGGAAATTTGGAGTCAAGATCCCAAACCCCTTCGTCAAATATTGCAGTATCTGATGAAGCTTCTTTCTAAAAATATATAAAGTGCGACATAAATCATTGGAAGATGAAAGCTCTCCATAGGCAAGCTCACCATTCTCTGACTCACAGCAAGCTTTTTCAACTCGGCAAAAAATAAATTTAATTCAGGATAATCGGCAATGAATAAAGTGCCATAATACTTATCATCAAGGAGATACTGAATAAACTGAAGCACATTTGGCCATTTGTCCGCTATCTGTGTAAGTTTAAGCAGTTTGACACAAATGTCAAGGA